ATCTTGCCAAGGATTGGAAGTGGACTTCGCATTGTCTTGGAATTGTTTTAAAAAGATCTGGCATCCTTTGTAAAAACATTTGCTTTCTTATAAAGGTAGACTGTCACTTTGTGATGCAACATTAAATACAGAAGTAAATAGGACCAAATTCCTAGTTGCTCAGCAACTTCATGTACATCATAGTGTGGGTAAACAGATATTTGGTATGAAAGTGTCTTCTTGGATAGCAGGCTGATTTGTATCCTGCTGTCCTCTACCTTCAGTTTTATTTGGGAGTCTGAGCAGTAGCTTGTTCCTACCAGGGTATGAATTTTCACGACCCTGCAAAGAGGCTGTGAGAGAGTTCAGTTACACTGACCAAAGAAGCTGAACCAGCAGTGTTGTACTAGCGCTCCAGGAATACTCCAACCTGCTGAATAGCTTAGCTGAGTGTGACCATCCACCTCTGCTCAGCAGAGATTTGTGTTACAACCATCGTGAATGTGATACTCCTGAAGATGTGCAGTGGGAAAAGTGGTGACTGACAAGGGCTGGGCCAGAGATTTGTTAGACCCCATTCACTTTCTGGGACCTTGCTGAAGAGGCAACTCACTGCCCTCCTTCACGGGCTGCAGTCCAACCTGGGCGCTTTCAAGCCACGCAGTAAAGCGAGGAAACCCCTGAGAAGGGCTCAAGGTGGCCTCAGGAGGTGAGCTCTGCACCGCGGAGCCAGGCGCCCGTGGTAGCGGAGAGATTCCCACCGCAGAGCGCTTTCTTGTGGCCAGGTGTCAGTTAGCACAGGTGGGTAAGGGCTTGTGTCCGGGGTCTCCTCTCACAGAAAGGTGGCTGCTTTTGCCAGGCATGGGCACGTGCAGTTCTCCCAGGTGCTAAATGTCTGCCCATCCCTTGGGAACACAAGGCAGACAGTTTTCCCTGTAATAGTATTAAGTAGTAGGACATCTCCAAAGATGATGAGTTTGGTAAATTTGTGATTGCTGGCTGCTGGAGGTGACACCTTGTGTTTCGCTGGCAAGATATTGTAAGCCAATACTGCAGGTGTATGATCTGTGAAATACCACAAGTTAGGCTGGAGATGGTTTTAGTGCTTGTCT